GATTGTTTTAATGTACCATATTTAATAAAAAATTCAAATAAATAAAATTAGTAAGAAGTTAGCGAATAAAGCTATACTAAAAACAACATTCTCGTCTTAGAAGATGCAATATTAATAAAACACTCTTATGACACATTATCCTGGCTAGATAGACCCATATATTGTTTAGGAGTAATTCTAGCGCACCGAGTCTTTTTACATCGAGTGTTATTATTTGATGCGGTAATGTAAGGCTTTAGGAACCCTTCGTAAAGGGAAGCTTAGGGGCACAATAGAAAGGTAACGTCGTGTGGGGATAGCGGATAATACATCGATTTATGAGTTTTTTTTTATCAAAGTAATAAATATATTATTGGGAATATCTACCTATTTGTATTGAATTACAGTTTTCACGTACCTTGTATATATTCAGATAAACAAATAAAAATTTTGATCTATTTACAGCAGTATTTTAGAAACACCTGAACATAGTCACCTTCTAAGTTATAGTAGTCTTTAAGAGGGTAACTATTTTCCTACATTGAAAGGGGCAAAATTACTCCATAAGGAAGAAGGCCATTATAGTCCTCAGAGGACCGTTTTTTCTTTGGTAATTTATCACAAGCTTCGCCTTTTCAAGGTTACATTTTAATCATTATTAAAGACACACTTTAATAACTTAAATTAAATCAATACTTATTCTTATTTTTAACAAAAATTTGTATTTTTGTGCCAATACAACATATTATTATATTAAAAAAGGTATTTTAAAGAATGACTAACATCTACATCTCAAATGTTGAAACTGTAATAATTACTGTATTTTTATTACATTTTAAAAATAATTTTATGAGTGTTGTATGAACGTGTTTCAGTGTCGCGTTAGCGTTGAATCGCCCGCTAGGGAAATCACCATTGTGACCAGTTGTGTATCGCACGTGTATTTACCAATGCCTCGCTGCGAAAGTATCATGTATCTTGTACCAGCTTTACCCACGTTGGAAATTGTTTTATAGTGCTACAAATATCTTTTTAAAATATAAATAAAGTTAATATTACAAAATAAAAAAAACTCTTTCGTTAAAATAAAATCAAACAAAAGCGGAAAAACTATTGATTTTTGTTTGAGTTAGTTAGATGTGAAGAACATTGGGACAAACTTTTAATTAGAATATTTCACAGAATATAAGGAGTTTCTCCAACGCGCGAGACTGCTCGTCAAAACTAATATAAAATAAAGTTGTTCTTGTAATAAATACATTCTTGTTGTAATATTGCAAATTTTTGCAAAACTTATCTAAATACAACTTTTAATATCTTAGGTGTATATGAAATAAATGTAATGAATGAATATGAAAGTTAAAATTAATAGACGTGTAATAAAAAAACTCAACTGTTGCGGTGTAGTAAACAATTTTTAATTGTGCAATTAGCAACTACATATTTCTCGCGATAATCAATTAAAACAAAAGTCAGGCAGTCAGACAAGTAATTTTTTTTCCTATAATGTGTCAGATGATAATGTCAAAATTTTGTATCGAACTACTCAATAAGTTTCTACAAAAAAAAACTAAATTTTGAAAAGGATTGTTTAAAATTAAAGTACATATGTGATTAAACCAAATTGAAAACTTATTATTTTATATTTATTCAAAAAAGTTAAATTTAAAAATAAAAAGTGAGATATTATGAGTTTGATTTTTATATTGATGATTATATTTATAATTACAAATTCCTAATTAAAAAAGGATTTCCTTTTTTTGCAACCTTATAAATATTAAAGGAGGGAGGAATTTGTAATTTATAATAGATAAATGAACACTGAAAAAGTGTGCTTATTAAATAAAATTTAAGAGAGCGACTATTTTCACATACTATATTATAACTTAGTGTAATATAATTCTGCGCAATTAAAAATTTTAAAGAGTACGAGACATACACGAGTACTTTATTTAGCTTTTATTTTGAAAAGATTATTACCTTTTTTACACTTGTGATTTGAACACTGCAAACATACATACATATATTTCAAAACGTTTAATGGTGAGGATATCAGTCTCATATATAATTGCTTCAATTTATATTAACAATTATTTTCTAATGAATTTGTGGATACAAAAATACTATATGCCTAAATGATACAAGAAATGTTTGCGGTTCAGTGTTGTCGACTGGATATTGTGTTTGTTATCGTCAGATCTTCTTTTACCAGTAACATTAGAATCTTCAGAATCGAATGCTTCATCCATAAATCTAAAAAATGCTTTTTTTATTTTCTGTCGCCTTCTTTCGAATTTCTCCGTTGGTGCAGTAAAAAATGAAAATATGTTGGCAAACAGTTTCTTAAATGAATCCATACATTCAGAACGCACTTTTCTAACTTCACTTCTCTTACAAATATCCCTCTGCTTTAAAGTTTGTGCATCCAATTTAAAAAGCAACATTATGAAGAAAAAATGTATTTTTTTTATTTCACACATGAGAAAACCTCTCGGAGCTATTAACACTTATACTATGGACACAAAACTGTTCTTGCCTAGACAATAGCCCTTATATTTATAGCTTCTAATTTAAAGTATCAAAACATAATATGATTGGTTTATTTGAATAACTTCCTAAATAGTAATGTAATCTTTTGGGCATTTGAATTAGAATCCAATACAATAATGAAATGATTGGACTACATATTATTGAGAAATATTAGTTTGTTTTCGTATCGTTGAAGGAATATTATTAAATTATTATGAGTAAACTTTTTTATGGTAAAAGAGACAAACAGCAGATGGCCTACCTGATGGGTCGTAGTTACCATGGCCATGTTATTGAACATGTGCTGCTAAACTCGAGGTGAAGGAATCATGGAAGGATGTTAATGATACAATAACCATTAAGTCAAAGAGATTTGCCTTTGGATTTAACTGAGAGTCCTATGGTGCTTCGAACAAAGGGGTCTCCAATCCGACTGGCAGCTGCAGAAGCTCCCTGGATCCCATGCCAATGAAACAGACTCAATATCTCAAAATGGACTGAGACTAATATAAAACACAAGGTCATTGAACAGATCAATATCCTGGGAGAGAAAAGGGTGGGAAAAAGGAAAGGACAACTTACTCTTCACTCATCGGACGAAACGCAGCCATTAAATATTGCTTCACGCCGTTATTCTGTGAGAGGGTAGTTCTTCCCCGTCCGAGCCTGCTCATATTCAAGCTGTATTTTTTTTACCACAGCTTGGCTCTACCACATAGAAAAACTTGATGGTATTTGAGAGATTAGCTCCTCATTTCAACGTGATAGTTAAAAAATTATTAAAATATTAAGAGTCTAAAGATATGGCAAAAAATTAAAATAAAAGACCATGATGGTGAAAAGAACAATTTATAACTATCATTTATTTCATATATATAATTTAAAAAGCAGTAGAAATAAGCTGAAGCCTATATATAAAAAAGAATAATTGTTTTTTGTTTACAATATAAATCTTATAGAACTTTAAACCTATTAAGATATTAATTTTAGATGGATGGATAAAATTCATATTATTGAGTTACATATTACATACATGTAAAATTGTTAACTATATTAAAAAATCGGTTTACATATGAAATACTGCTGAATATCTCTACGCAACCCGACCCTACGACTATCCTTCGTGAATATTTGTAAGAGGATAAAAAAATATAACAGCAACTAAAGTTTTAATTTTTTTATTATAGTAATCTCCCTTTTTAGCTTAATAGAGAAGTCTTATCAACGATACTGTGAGCTAATAATATATATCCTCACTTGTTGAAATCCTAAAAAAATATGATTATCCTGTGTACCAACAAGTCAAAAAAACAACTTTTAAAATTAAAAACTATTAACTTTCATAAAAATTCACTCTAATAATCATCAGAACTAATCAGTTCTAAGATGTAAAAGGTAGTGTTTATAAAACAATAATAATGACACGACGCAGTTCTTGATTAATTTCTTTAAATATAATAACATATTTTGTATTGATTGTTTCTGGGTACCTAAGTCATTGAAACTATGTCATATTTAAAGGTTTATAGTTGGCTTTGGATAACCCTGCCATTTCTTGATAATATTGTTTAAGACATTTTAAGACTTCTTCTAATAGTAATCTATTTAATTTTGTTTAAAGGAAAAGTTTATGTTGGTACTTTTTATCGTAATAAGAGACTATGACCATAAAAGCTACCTAATCTACGTAATAAAACATTTGAAAAGGAAAAATGAAGATGTCTCTTTGCTGTTCGAATGTTGTAGATCAGTATTTTTCATAATAAATATATATTTTTATACAAATAAAAAACTTGAGCTTTCTCTATTTTTTTATTTACCTCAAATAATTTGAGACATACATAGATCATATACGGCGTATACAAAACAGAATTGCGTTAGCCCAATTGTTCATTAGTAGAGTTAATTTTACACTATTTTTATGCATACTTCTTGTAATCATTTATTTATTACATTTAAGTATGGTTAAATTGAATCATTTTATAGTAGTTTGAATATATGTTTCGAATTTGAGAAGTATTTTTAAAACTAATAAATATTTTGAAATTGACTGATATAAATGAAATGTTTGTTTATTAGTCATTACTGTTCTCGTTTTCTCTACCTGATGATGTACATTTTTAATTTACCGATCATTAAATTACCTAAGTATAAATTACTCATGCTAAATAATATATGAAGTGGGCAATAGGATGTTGATAATCTTTAACATGTCTCCTAAAAACTTATGTTTTAAGATTTAGTGATAAACATACTAAACTTTTTGCTTTAGCACCTTATAGAAGTTTTCTCATCTGATAAGATTACCAATAAAATGAGGACGTTGCCCTAATACATAATCACGTCTGAAGCTAGTATGGCTGATGTTTAGGTAGGTTGGTAGGCAGGTAGGTTTAAATAAATGTATAAATAACTTGTGCACGTCAAATTCTTTATAAATATAATAAGACACCGAAATTTCATTAACATATTAAAATACACTAGACAAAAATTTAACCTGAGACTTCATTTGTATTTGTTGAATTAATAGTTAATCCATTTTCAAGATAATATAAGACTTTTTCGAATATTAAAATGTGTGCATTTGGACTCCACACAAAATCAGTATGGCTTATTTTTTTATGTTTAATTGCAAAATGATCTATTGGGTTAACAATACTGAAAAATAATCTCAATACATCCGGTGTAGTAGCAAGCCAATCATCCCTAGAGCTAAATAAAGCAATAGGAACTTTCACATTGTTTACAGAAAATAATTCCTTTTCGTTATTAAATTTATGAAATGTTCCACTTTTTACTAACTGTGCTATGTGCAAAATGGTTTTTGTTGATCCACCAGCTGGTAAATGGTAAAGAACATTGGCAATCAAACTTTTATCCCATGAATCTTCTTCTGGTATACTACCACTAAGGAATAATAGAGGATTTAAGCAATAAATTTCATGTCCGTTACAGTATCTGCTTGCAATCCAAGATGGAATTTTTCTGTTAGGCAGAAATTCTCCATTCCCAAGTAAATTAAGTAATTGTTGTGGAGGTGTTTTGGCCATAGAAGTAATAATTCGAAGAGGTCCTATTGCATTCGTCATATAAACCAAAGGAGCCAATAATACACCAATTCTAAAGTAATTGTTATATTCTGGTAGAGTTGATAACATAATAATAAAGGCAGTAGCTCCTAAAGAATGTCCAATAAAATTTATTTGATCCGTACTATTTTTAGTGTTTCTGATGTAATCAACAATAGCAGGTAAATCATATTCACCCATTTCTTGAAAAGAGAAATTCCAGTATTCTAAAGAATCAACTCTTTTCTTCATATGACCTCTTGAGTAATAATTTCCTCTAGCATTAATAAGCCAAACATCACATCCTGCATTTGATAGTATATATGGCAAAGATTTTTCTGGACCTAGTAAAATCCAATCAGCTGAACTTCCAAGTAATCCATGATGCAATAAAACGGTAGAATTATTGAGACTGCTGTCTGTATATTCATTCGAAATAGCCGGGCTCTTAAGGCGATGCAAGGTGAGAAGATAACCATCTTGGGAAGTAACAACGTGTGATTCCATCCTCTTCCCATGAAGTGTTGCTAATTGGAGAGTGGACATGAGAGCTGTTGGTTCTGATCGCAAATTGTCATATCCTGGTGCTTCATTTTCCGTTTGTGCAGCTTCTTCTTCAATGAAGTCACAAAATGCTGCCTTAGTTCTTTGTTTCATATTAGCGAATTTCCTCGCATCACTTAGAACGGAATCCACTTCAGGAAAAATTAAGGAACTAATTTTCTGCCTTAAAATTTTAAAAGCAGACGATACTTTGTTTGAAAATTGGTGAAACTTTTGTGTTACAAATTCACCGAAGTTTGAACAATATATCACGCCATTTTGATAGAAACAAAATAATAAAAGTATTAAAAAATACTTCATAGTTCTCATCTGTTCCGTCCGTTCATGAACTCCACTCAGTGTGAACTATCAATGTTGTGGTTACATCATGAAATATAATGACGAATAGATTACACTATTGTATAAAGTTAGAGAACAATTCATTACAATAACATACACAGTACACATTAAATATTATTGACAATGGTTTCAAGACGTATTACAACTACACGGAGACAGGCTGTTTGATAACATTGTTTGATATTTTGGGAGTTTGAAATAAAATTCAACATACTAATGCGTTAAAACAAATCCTTTGGATATTTAATGGAGAAGATTCTTTTTAAAACGTTATATATCTTTTAGATATAATAAAAAATTTATGTAAATTGATACAATAAAAAACTAAATAAATATATTCCAGTAATATAAAGTAAGAAAGAAAGTTTAATTTTAACCGGAAATAAAGGCAATTTATTCAGCAAACTTTTTCTTATTTTTCACAATTAAATAAGGTATGATATATGTAGAATAACAACCCAAGGAATGTTTTAAGTTAAAAAAATACTAAAAATAGGGAGGCATTAGTCTTATTTCTATCAAAACTAATAATGGGATAAAAATTTTGCTAACTTATAAAACTTTGAAATTGTAACTGATAGAAACTAAATTAAGATAGAATTTTATTATATTTTTTGGAATAATGTTAAACATTCGACTATAATAGAATCATTAAAAATTTTAAACTTTTTTCCACGTAAAAATAACATTAAGGGAAAGATGAAATAAACCGTAATCGCGTAAGTTGCCGGCCTCTCAGTCAATTTAGATAAACTTTCTTTCTTAACGACGTAAACAATTTAAATCTAATGCAAAATGCAGAGCGGGTCAGAAACTGGCCCCACACCACCCCACTGTTCAACTACCTGAGCTTTCATATAAATTATTTACCTTCATTTACTACCGACATAATTTTCATTCGGAAATGTTTTATTGTAATTGACTTTTAGACGACAAAAATATTTTACAAACAACTGGATAAATACTTTAAAACATTTGTCATGCTGAAAGTAAAAAAATATCATGTTCACTTTCGGGTAGCAATGCAGAAAGCGCTATTGAATTTTTAAATAAAAGGACGTCTACTGGGAAAAGTTGAATATAAAAAAGTCTTATAAACTACGTTGCAAAACTAAACATTCGGAAAGTTTGAGATACAGTAAAATTTGTTAACGGTGTAAATTTTTCTCTATTGTTAACTTTGAATATATTTTTCTGTTTAGATATTAAAATATACTTTCTATTAATAATTTAGTTATGTTCTATGATAAAGATGGCTTTCCAACGGGTAAATGATTTAGCTAACATGATGGTTTAAAATGTTATGCTTGATGAATGTACGTATGTACTTTAAACAAATTTGTCATATTATGTTAAAAAATTAGGATCAATTCTTCACAAAACTCCCAATATTCAAACATGGCAGTATAACTTACCTCAAAACAAAATCTAACTTATTATTTTCAAATAAAAACGGATGTGTTTTGTTGGTCTGTCAATTATTGTGAAAGTAATATTTAATAAATTAATTTAATATATTCTATATGTAATGTAACTTTTATAGTGCATGAAATATAAAAAATAAAAACATCAACTTTTTTTATTACGAGATGCCAAGTCAATGTGAAAATATTTTGCAATTCTTTAACAGAAAGGTAATTATTTAAATATTCTCTGCATGGAAAACTATAAGTACCTAATTTTAAAATAAAATAAAACCTACTCTTGTTTTAAATAGAGAGGACTACATTTAATATACTGGACATGTATTTAGTATTGCACTGTAAATATGTAGTATAAAACTATCATTGCAGTCATAGCAGTCAATTGATAGTTTTAAGTACAAATTCGAGTTGAAAAATGTATATTGCATCATACATTCATTAATATGGTATTGTTTGTGTATGTGTTTGTACTTAATTAAGGTGGCAAATAATGCAAAATTTATAGAACTTATTTTTGTATTTGGAGCAATGACTTGACGTGATATTACAAATTATAAATTTTTCGATCCTAATAAAAATAAATGGTCGTAAACCTAAAATTTTCTCCGTTAATTAAATTCACTTTCAAATTTGTTTCATTCCTCCCCATTAATCCCGAAGCTATTTCAACAGGTGACCAATGGTCTTGTGTATATACCTCCCATAAGGCGGACAACATTAATGCTGCCCATGTGAAGCCAGGAAGTTTCGATGTTCCTTACCATATATTTACATACATACTCAATGTGATTAGTCAAGCCAAATATTTTCAAATAAAGGTTCTCTAAAGTTTTTGTTACATTTGTAAACATTTTTAGTGTTATACAATGATCATTGTTATGCTTCCTTTGTAAAGCAATCAGTACATACTAAGTTATAGAAATATTTTCCTTAAATTTTAACACTGAAAATGTTATTTAATCACAAAATATCTTGAAAATTATTTCTTTGTTTAAAATCTGATGATGCTGATAAGAACAATTAAATTTATTAAAAATGCGTAAAAAATCGAATGATAACACATAATTTTAACAACTAAGAAATGTTCATTATATATTTTTGGAAACAATTAATAAAAAAGCGTAATTATACTATACTCTATGTGTATAAAAGAAGTTTTATAAAATAGCAGCGAGTCCGAAAAATTATTATGTAATAAAAACCACCAAATTGAATACAAGTTGTGCTTATACTCAATATATAGTTGTGAAATAATGATATAGACAAAACTAACTTCGTAAATTGTTTGCTGTGAATTTGAAAGCTGTATTAATTATTATTATCACTATTACATTCAACAAAAAAGCTCTACGGTGCTAAAACTATTTTGACAAGAAAGACGATATGTGATGGTAGCTCGAGGTACAAACCTAGCTCATGCAAAATGCAGCGGTACATCTTCCCCTCGTGTTTCGCCACCCTGCCCTCCCTTTATAAATGATTCTGAGTCAATTTCGCCGGCTCCCGTCCTCCCCAATATTGTTTGACTTGGAATGCTCACCTATACCTTTAGTGAACTGGACATTGTATCTGAGATCAATTTTTCAATTTTTAGTACCCCCTGTCTAAAGATTGAAATAACAATGTTTTAAGGAAGACACACATTCACATCTTTACTTAGCCTCTTTTTCGAGTTAAACATTATACCCATATTTTCCTAAATTTATGTCACTAAAATAAGTGTTTTAACAAATGTTTTTAAGATTTTAGATGAGACAAGAGATTAAAAAATTTCATTCTTTAGGTTAGAAATTTTTATGTTTGAGTAGGCATCCGATGTTCTGTATAACTCAATATTAATCACACAAAACCCGTCTTCACCGTCGGACATCAAAACAGGTCTCCGACAGCGGTGTCGGATTTAATTAAAACAGCACCTTTGAGAATTTAATTTAATTAGCGTGAGGCGCAATTTTAGGGACCACCTCTTTTCTATTGTTCCCCTGTTTTATTCTGTATTTAAATTTTATTTTGGTCTTACTACAATTATGTAATATTACTTATAAAAGTAACGTAAGTTAAAGGTTTTTTAATGTATAGAAAAAATGTTTTGCATTCAAAATAAAAGTTTCCAATATATTAAAAAATTTGGCAATAAATTGATAATGTAATTAATTATTTCTTTATTAATGAAATATTGCAAAGTAACATTATAAAACACTGTGTGTCTATCACAACATTTATCTTATAAATCTATTAAAATAGTTCATATTTATTTTATGTTTTCAAACACGGATATTTTTGTAGCGTTGTTAATTTTTAATAGAACCATGTTTTTCATTTTCATAGTGTTGAATGGTTTTAAACATGTTGAGAATGTTATGTAATCTACCCGTTAGTTTTTCATATAGAATCATTGTCTTTCGAGACAACCTTACTAAAAGCTTCTTTAATAATTTCCAGTAATCTTATCTACATAAAACTTACAATTTACCTATAAATCCACATAATTACAGATTTCACATATTTACAGTACATTTATGATTAGGCTGAGATGAAGATACAGTAGATGAGATGAAGATACAGTTTACGTAAAAAAAATATTTTACGTGTGACATTCTAAGTAAATATGATTTTTATCTAAATTTCAATACAAATAGGTAATCTCTATTTACACAGCTTTGATTACAAAAAATCTCATAGAACTTGTTTAGATTTTTGAAAATAAAATTGTTTTACAATTTTTGATAACTAAACTTGATTCAAACAAGTAGAATCAGTCCCAATAATAGAAAAGTTGAAGGACATATTGCGAAGGAGAACACTTTCGAGTCCTTTATGTTGTCAGTTAAACTAGATCTAGAAAAACCAAGACACATTCAGTAAACATTGTAAAAAAAAATCTTTTCTAAGGACACAAAGGTGTTCTTTGTTAGGTACGTAGAATAGCAGAGGATTGTTTCTAGAAATAGCACGATAGCCCTAAAAGGCTATGTGTGTTGGAAATAATGACCTATTATCCCATGAGTCCAATTATATGATATGATAAAAGTCTAGTATAGTGAGTTGTGATTAAAATTTAGCCTAGTAACATTCAGTTAAATATGTTTTCTGGCTATGAAGGTATGATGAGAAGCATTACTAATTTGGAAATACATAATTAATTGATAAGAAAGAAAGGTGTGTGAATAAATGTAATAATATTCGTAGTTAGATCGTTCTTAGATTATTTTGAGGTTGACTAATACACAATTTGTGTTTCTTTAATTTTATTAAAAAATTTCGCTTAAAGGTTCGAAAACTTTATGTAAGAAAAATTATTTAAAAAATTTAAGAAATATAATGCTGGCAATATAGTTACTACAACTACCAAACACATTAATTCTATTTAACATTTAAATAAGCAAAGAAACTTTCCCTAGTCTAGGCGATATCACTTCACGCTGTCTTTATTTGTTCCAATTTTGTATCTCTCGCTTTTCGAGTCCAACTCATAACTCATTCAATTATATGTCTACGAAAAGTTATTCAATATATATTTAAAGCAAATAGTTATATCAAAATATTATTTTGTGTAAAAAATATCGGTATATTTTTTAAACTGCTGCCTGTTAATTTCAGTTTCAATCAAAGTTTGCTGGGACGGAATCAACAGCTATAAAAACAGTATTTGAAAATGAAACTATTGTCATTTAAATACAATGGGTTCTTTTGTTTTTGTAATAATAACAACCTAATATGATTCTTCATTTTCACAGACTATGCCTATTTTGTGGTCTAAATAAAATATAATTCATTAATTAAAACCTCCTTACCGACCTTAGACTATGTTTTGCAACTTCTTTTTTTTCTAGTACCTAGATAATTAAACTGTAAGATAGATAATAGTAGTGGTATTTTTTCTATTCAACAAAGGGTAAATATTAAAATGAAATAAGGTAGGGGTTGTTCGCAGTGAAGCTATATTCAAATAATTGGATCAACAAGACCAACTAAATTAGTTCATAAAATATGGATACCATTATTTAGCTCGCTACAAAAGGTCATTATTATGTTTTTTATTATTCAATAGATACAGAAATTTACAAAATTTTAACAAGGCCATACTGAAACTTAAGGTAAAGGTATTTTATAATAAAACAGTAATATAATTTATATCTACTCGTAGTATAACTAAAAAAAAATCACAAAAATATTTTTTCGTTCATTATAATAATATTCAATAAAATTAAATTAAATCAATTTATAAATTTTAAGAGGTTTCGTATATTTGATTATTACGTTTTATTCATTCCCTACACTGGAATCTAGTGAACAGCTACGCATGCTCACATTACGCAACAGTTAATAAATTATTAAAGTTAAGAACAAAACTATTGACCCGTTATACGACGCTCCTACTCTGCAATATAACAAACATCAAAGTAAAATAAACACAAGTCAATACATTACAAACATAGACATTGTGTTTATTTAAAAGTCTAAAGTCTTATACATATATGAGAACTAGCTATTCAATATCTTTTTGCTGCTTTTACCTTTTTGTTTCGCTGTATAATTTCTAAAATATATCAGATTTTTTAACGAAGGTAGACAAATATTGATAATAGAATTCTGAAAGAGGAATGGTATAGAAATCAATCAAACAATCCAGAACTCTGAGTCATATTAAAACCGTCTGAATGAGAAGCGGTATAACTTACAATTACTATCAAACTTTGGGGAGCTGAATAAATTGCTGCCTTTATAGTGCACGGGCTATGACAGGCTAGCTGAAGAGCTAGTTTGAAAAATTACTTTAATTTGTTCTATTAATGGATTCTATAATATTTGCTATGTTTGTTTTTGGTTATCATTTTACTGAAGAAACCTTCTTGTGAATGAAGAGGAAATGTCTGTTATATCATATAAGTATTGAACTGTTCTCATGCTTCGCGATAAAAAAACATTAGGCAATAGAAGTGTTCCATAAAGTATTTATGTTAACTAAGTAAATTATTAAAATCGATATAATAATAAATAACACATAGATATATTTTATTAATTTAATCAAAATTAACATGGCTCTGTCATGTTACGACAGCTTGATTAAATATTTAATTGTATTCATCATCGTTCAAAAACATAACTAATTGTTGTATTCAAAATTTACATGAATGGTAATATAATTACATAAAAGTTAACTTTAGAAACATGGTGAAAAATAATATTATAATGAATAATTAAAAGTACATTTAATTTAATCCGTACGAATGGTAAGTTTAAATTTAATAGCGAGGGTAATCCAAAACTAATTCTATATATAAAAGAGGGCGAATAGTAGCACCGTATTATTAATAATAGAGACTAACCCAAATATTAAATAAATAAAACAAAAATTAAGGTTCATATAGGTTTCTAAATAAACTGGTTTTTATTTTCTTATTCGATTTAAATTGAACAATAAAAATAGTTAAAAAAATATGACGGATAGATTTCCTAGAGTATAAGAATATCTTTCTTACCTACATATGATTTTTCAAACGACAAAATGTCCCCTCTCTATATGCGTAGGAATGTGATATTATACGAAATAACCGCACAATAGCGGGGGACATAAGTTTTTATTAAAATGCGTTATTGCTTGAAATACATTGACATTATAAATTGAGCAAACTAAATAGAAAAACACTTGAAACATTATAATTTGTTATCGTATAGGTCGTTGTTTTAAGATGGCTAGACAAAAAAATTATTAAAATCAAAAATACCTGTATGTTCCCACCCACATATGTACCTATTAAGTATAAATCCATAAAATGAAATGTTTTCATATAGCTTCTTAATCGTAAATATTTATATGTGATTGGAAAACAACCCCCTTACATTGTTATAGACTTATATGCGTATCACCTGATTTAACGTAAGCTTCGTTTTGTACTAGCACCCCTTCATGAATCGTAGCCCTTCCTAACAAAGACCGGACACGTGACGCTGTATGTGTATAATTCCATTCTCTCTGCGTTACCTTTTAATGTAGTGAGCAATATTTTTAAATATTATTTTGATGATAATAATGGTACAAGTATTTCCAGTTGCGACCATATCTCTATACGACATTATATTCAGATTATATTTATTTACTCAAACAGAACATTGACTAGCTTTGTATTATATTATTAATTAATTAAAAATTTAAGGTTTAGGTTTGTTGTAGGTAGGTTTCATTTAGGTTTACTTGAGTTTTTTAACACACTAAATGTGAAAATTATGTCAGACTTGAGCTTCCATATGCTTTTAGCACTGGATGATGACTAGTAGCTGATGTTCTTTATATAAGGGTTCCAAGTTTAAGTCGCTATACTTCAAGTACTTAATAATGCAAGGAAGAAATGCAATTTAATAAAAATTGTTTGTTTAGACCTTTACATAAAATGAGCAACGCTGAATATTAGAAGTCAGTGGTGGCCTAATGGTTAAAGGGCCCGCCTCTAGTTGCCGAGGGCGCGGGTTCGATCCTGGCTCGGGCAAGTACCAATGTGGTTTTTCCGAGTCATATGTACTTTCTAAGAGTATTTAGACATGACTGATTAATGCTGCATCCCAAAAGAGGGTTGATGGCAGGCAGACGGTCGGTCGTAAAAACAAATAGCCAAAACTATTCACAACATGTAAGGCAGACCCTGGCTATAGCTGGGAAATTGCCAGGTAGAAGAAGAAGCAACGCTGAATACATACAGTGTTTTAAGTTTATCCTATTCACCATTGACACATGTCTGCATTCGGGCAGTCTTCAGTGAGTACAACGCAAAGATGTCTACCACTACAGGGACGTTAGAGCCTTCTGAATAGTCATTTATTTTATCCTAAATATATAGCCTAGAAGACAGTTCATCGAATTCATTAAATATTTAATTTATACTTATTAATATATGTATTGGAATTTCCATGGTATTATCATGATTTCTCTTATTTCCGAAAAACGCTTTCATGATATACACAAATTATTTAGATCAATTGATTTAAGAAAAATATAAACGATAATATTACATTGAAGACCATATCTAATTGATAGAACTTGTTATACTATTTTATTGAGTGTATGATAAATAGAATTTGTCATATTCTTAGTTTTCTCTCGTATTTTAGAGATTAGTGATAGTAAATACTCTGCAACTTATATAAGGATTGGCTCTGTTGGAGTCCTGTCACCTGCCCACCGAAGAGCGATGTAAAGCTGCTAGATTGCGAAAGGCCTAATCCTTCCTACCCACAATACCACACCCATTACTTCTTCCCATATCTCTAAAGTTACAAGGGCGATAACCTGGAGAGTAACTCTAACATAATATGCTTGTGGACGGTTGTAACTGCTCACCATCAGATGTGTCTGTCGTCTGGTACATTGCTACCATTATAAAGATCTTATAAAAGTATTATCTACAAAGTAGAAAAATGACTGTTTTTTAAATCTTGCTCAATCTTTTCATATCAAGTTACTCATAGATTAGGACTAAAGCTAATATGCTAAATTAAATGTAAAGATACATTGATACTTTTTTCTTAATTGTAAAGTAGGACTTATATCAATCAAATATTACTTTAAAGTACAGCGGTTAATAAACGGATACATTTATGAAAGTAAAACTTATTTGCCGTAAATATTATTACAAGTTGATTATACATATATTTGATTTATTATTTATTACCTGAAAACAGATGAAGATAATTTTTAACGAAAAAAAATTACTTCGTTGATAACTTCGACGTTAAGACTGGCCACTCCTTAAAATAGGAAATAATAACATAAATGTCAAATATTTGTGTCATACTTGTCATTAACATTGCTAACAAATTAATTTAGAGTGTTGTATAGGTTATTACTGCAATTTTACATTATTAAAAATCAACTTTCTATGAGAGATGTCTTTAAAGAAATTAATGAAAGGAGTTCCTTCGGAAATATTACCCGCTGAGGGTTTGCTGAGTCAAGACAAGAGTGCTATAACTCCCTGTCAGGCGGTATGCGCAGACAGATTGGGGAAAACATTACAATTGGAGCAGGAACATTATTTACTTCAGCATCCGGAGGTTACGAATGCTTAATAATTCTTTATGTTTTTAAAGTGCTTTTGCATAATGAATAAATAATCCGAAGTAAATATAAATTTACTTAGGGAATGAACTCATAAAACTAAAGCTAATATTTACATGCATTGCAGTTCACTTTAGTTTGTTGTTTAGCTTTGCGTGTCTGATTATATCCTTTGATACCTAGGTAGCTTTTCAACTTGTGCTTTATTTATTTTAAGTTGTAATTTATGTTAATAGTTATTTTAAGATTTGCGATTACTTAGTTTATATTTATAATATTAAAAAATATTTATCGTATCGAATCGAATCGCAGCTAAAATATATGTTTTTATTGTGATTAAGGATATTGAATGTATTTTTTATAGAAAGACATTTTAATGCTTAATTGATACCCAACACTCAATAATCCCCACAGCTTACACAAATTGAAACCGTAATAGAAATACAAATAGTTTTATTGAAGAACGTACTAATGGAGTATTTAATTTCCTAATTCTAAATATTTCGATTCTCTGAGACTTATTTATATTTTTTTTATTATTTGTCTCAACATCGAAATTTAAGTTTTGTATATTTTAATTTCGTAACTTTTTGAATTATCAGATAAAAACTATGTTGGCAATTTTTATCAGTAAAATGGTTCAGATGAATAAAATGAAGGATGTACTCAAAGAAGCTGCACAGCACTTTACAAGACCTATAAATGAACTCGATGAAGAAATACGTCAAAAACTCAATTTACGCCCTGACGAGCCCTATGATTCAAAGGTGGAAACATTTGCTTTCTTTTTGTCTGCAGTTTTTTATTATAAAAAATAAATAAACTCGCCTCTATTTGACACAGTATAATTCATTTCTATTATTTACTAAAATATATTTAAATAGCAAGTGTATATTTTTAGTGCCAAGGAATACATTACAATGACACTGAATTAAAAGATGACCTGAGAAGACTCATAACAAAACATTATCCGCCAGAGCCACCCAAGATTCCAACTCCATCTTTATCAACTTTATTTACAGAATCTTCCTCATTTTTGTCCATATTAACTTCTAATACAACATTAGCTACTCCAGGTAAAGTTAATTAATTTCGAAACTAATTATTACTTATTTGATATTTATACATTGTAGGTTTATTTACTTCGATTGGATAGGAATTAAATTATTATTTGTATTGTATAAATTCCAATAAACAAAAATAATAAAAAGTTTACATTTTTGAAATTTGATAATAATGTAATAGTTTGTTTACTTCCAACAAATATAATATATTCTCGCTTATATTCACATTACTGTTATAGGAATAAGTTAAAAATAACATTGTAAAAAATGCCTCACAATTATTTTATATTGTAAATTTTTAATAACTGTTTATTTATTTTTTATTTCAGAACCGATTCCAACCCCGGAGCCAACTTTTTCAGAAATTATGTTTAAATTGGTCTCTAATACGGTTGATAAAGCAATATACCTACGAGTGGATGATCAAGCTTTGAATTATGACACAGCGTACATTGAACTCAGCAAAGCAGTTGAGGCAGCAATGGAAATTCCAGTGATTGAAATTAAAAAGGATATAGCTGAAATGTACTATAAAGCCTACGAACTTTTTCAGTTCAATATAGATGAAAAACAACGTATAGGTAACGTAAAAATTTAACTAGTTATATATTAGATATATATTGTATAATATATATTATATATATTGTCTTCCAAGAGAATCATAAATTTTATTTTCTAAACTTTAAACACCATATAGTATAGTTTCATGATGTTATGCATTTAAACAACCAAATTTAACATTTTTAGGCAGTAGATAGGTGTTACGAGAAAATTTAAATAGTTCTTAAAATTGCTACATAACGCCTGACTTGTCCGATATTTTTATTTCGGAAAATACTATTATTTTGTTGTATAAAAATTATTGACACAACATGCACTAAAATTCAAAATAAACTATAAAATTTATAACAACGTTATTTTATCAGCTTTCTACCAATAGATTTTGTATTACGGGTGCAGTAATTTTACGCTCGACTTCCAAAAGAAGAATGCTCTCAAGTAGACGCACATCTTATTTACGTTTTATTTAAGAAACCTTATAGCTTTCCAAGGAAATCGAAATATAATAATTATTTTTTTATATATAAAGTTGAAGTTGCATGTTTGGTGCCATAAATTTTATTAAGTTTAGATGAAAGGGTCAAATATTACAAAAAAAATATATCCATTCAAATTAGTCCATAAATAAAATATATATTTACATTGTCATTTGATAAATATTTTATCCACACAAGTACTTTGTATGATAATATTTATTTGCAATGATGAAAATGTTTAATAGGTATTATGTATGTATTGTATCTTGGAAGTAAAAATGTGAACTCTAAATTGAATAACATTGATCGTTCAAGCCTAATTGAAAGATAAGCTTTCTAGATCAAATACATTGCAATAACATATAAAGGGATTATAGGGATAATATGTATTTAAAGTATAAGAAACGTTACATGTTTGTTTAGAACTATATTTTTAAAGAAACTTTAACTAAGCCAGATCTATCCTTACATATCTCTATAACCGTACTTCAAGTAGATTTAATACTAATAATAGCATGTTGTGCATACTGAAGCGAAAAAGATATTTTTTAAGCTTATTGCAAAGGCATAGATGTCAAAGAACGTTGTTTTAAATTAATGCTTTTCATTTACCGGCACTCCGTATCCTACATATCACGAAAGGATTTTAAAAGTCCCCTACACTGTTTTAATTAATGGAGCGCTACGTTTTATTACTTTAATTTTACGTATCAACATTTGCAGCTGCTGAAATAGCCTGGGAAAAACGAATGAGAAAGAAACTGAAAAGGACTTTAAGACGTATGGATAACTTTAAAGGTATTCTGAGGTTTTTATGACTGAATCGTATTTTTAATATTTTAAATACAAGTTAGTAATAACATATTCAATGAAACATTGTATGTTTGCGAGGATAAATCTGATTTTGCCTTCAAATAAGCCACTATTAAAATTTTACCTTCATAGTTGTTTTGTCTTACGAACTACCATTTAAATTTCACTGCAACCGGCTGAAAGCCATCGGGCTCGTGTCAGTAATTTGAACGTATAGTAAATATTTTGGTAATCGAACAAGTGGTTTGGAAATTTCTGCAGTAAATTCTGAAGTTTGACGAAGTAAATAAGATGTATAGCTTAAAGTGAATACTATTTTTATGCTTAGTAAAATTTTCTTAACTATATAATTGAAGTAAAATAGTTTACACAAGATACAGAAAAAATATAATATTTATTTTATAACAAATTTTAAATTTTAAATCGCAATGGTGTATGCTAATAAATAATCCTAGTCAATAATCTTATAATCCTAGTTTCTTTAAAATAACAAAACGGTACGATAGTAATATTTATAAATATTTTCAAAACACGAACTATTTTTATTACGGAGAAGAAATTTCATGTACCATAATATTTTAGAAATCACTAAAAGGTTCTGTTAAAAAATTAAAAAATAATAACCCTTTTTTAAATGCACTTTAACGTCATTGAGTTTTAATAATCGTAATCGAAAAAAATCACATCGACTGCTAGAAATGTTTAAATTAACTTCGTAAGCACAATTTCACAACTTTTCTCTAATGGTTTGCATAAACTAATGCTACAGGATACGAGACGCCTCCGACGCCGAAGAGTGAAATATCTTCCCACGAGAGTTATAAAATTGCTCCGCCACGTCCCTGCATATGTCACCCGCATTACAACTATAATAGATATCCTAAGGTATTAATGTTATAACATTTTATAATTGATGTTTTATTTGCAGGTATATTTAATATTAATAGACTTCAATGGTTTTATTTATTTACAGGACAGATTCGGTATATATTTACCTAGAGAACAGAAGTATAGTGATCGCAACGTGACGGTGACACCTGCTATTTCAGAGGCGAGTGATGAAAACGACCATGAAAAGGAAGAGAGCACAAAATGAAACGTTTTTACACAAGAATTTTGATTTATTTCTTAAAAAAATACTAATTAATTATTATTATATCATTATTAAAGTCAGGTGTATTTTATATATTGTCATTAATTTTAATTGTAGTTCTTTTGAGATATTCATATATAAAATTTATTAATTCAGATGTTAATGCATCTACATTCTACAAGTTGATTTTTGCAATAAACAAAAAATAATCACTCGTAAAAGAATATAAAAAAATATATCTTTATCAAACTTAACTATAGCCCCTCTATGAACAATAAAGAAATTCGAATCCAAAATATGTTAATTTAATAGATGCTTATAGTTCATTTCAATAGAAATTGACAATCTTGTAAAGAAAGCAATTGGGTTTTTGAAAAAAAAAATAGTATTGATTTTTTTTATGTATTTTAAAACTTTATTATTAATTATATTGATTTTTAATGCAAAAAACTTGAAAAAAATTTTTTTTAATTAATTATAAGCAATTAAAAATTGATAAAATTCAAAAAAAAGTCACGTGACTGTAAACGCGCCATGATTGGTCACCATACTTGTGACGTCATAATGTTAAAGCAATTTCACAATAGTACAGTGTTTATGGCTATTATCTTTAACTTGATAAAAATATCTCAAATTTATTAGTGAAAAACGATTTGAAAAGTTTATTTCCACTAACTATGTGTGATAAAGGATTTATAAAAGCAAAATCGGATAATATTCCTGATGTTGATATATTTATGATAACTATTTTTTTAAAAAATGACGTTCGGTTTAATTCTGCTGAATTTCGAGGTGCTAAGGCATCAAGGTAAGTCTGTTAAAAAATACTATTCTAAATGAAAATAAGTATTTATTCTCTATTAAATATAATTAATAATTATTTCATTAAATCATTATTAATAAAATGTTATTATAACATTATAAAAAACCAAAATAACATATACTTTAAAAATTTAAATGTAGTCTGATACAGAACCTAGAATGTTATAAAATTATGAAAATATCTATTAATTGAATTCCAATTATTAGACAAACATACATATAGATTTACTATTTAATCGCTTTGAATTATCAATTAAAAATTTTTTAATGCTACGATTCTAAAGGTTATGATTTGGAGCCCAGGTAAAAAAATTAATTACTGAACTATACTTATTCCATTTATACACTTAGATAAATAATAATGAATAACAATATTATTATGAATACTTACAACGAAATGATCTTCACAACAAAAAAAAAATGATTTTGTTTCTGAATAATCTCGGTGCACTGCTTGAAACAATTTCTTTCGACGTTTTTCGTCTTGTGGAACATTTAAAAACATTTTTTCAGGAGTTGTTTTTGTAGTATTTGTACATAATGGTACAAAACAAGAGCGATAACTTTTGAGTTTTGACATTTTTGATTATTTAACAATGCCAACAGAATTTACTAGATAAAAACTCAAAACACTGTACTAATTATTATATCTCTGTATGCTATAATGAGCAAAAACTAACATTGTGACGTCACACGCGCTCGGGTTTATTCGCGAGCTGTCGGCGGATCTTCGGTACTGAATTTAAAATTTAATTTTTATTTTGAAATAACTTTTTAGTTATTGCAAAGAAAAAATAAATAAAAATAGTTTTGTTATAAAACTTATATATGATCTTTCCATTTATCACAAAAAAAATAATAATTCAAAAACCCAATTGACCGCAATTACTCTGTTCTTATGAACAATTGAATTTCAGTCCTGGTAATAATTAAATCTCAATGAACCCACCACTGTTTTTAACAATCTTTTCATCATTCAAAATATGTTTATTTTATAATTTTATTAAGAATAAGGAAATTCATTGTTTTTGTCAAATTAACACGATGCTCTTTTACAAGAAATAAGACATCGTCACTTGTCTTGAATATGCTAATAGATTAAATAGATATTTAAAATTTATTTATAAATTATAAATTGTTTATGTTATTTAAATTATGATGAGTGAGCCTTAGTCTAGTTCATCAAGGACTACTCCACGGGCCAAAAAGGCCAAAGTGGTCAAACAGCTGACTATGAATAATAAGAAATTCTAGTCAATATTTATCATCATTTGGAAAAAAGCTTACCCACTTTTCTATCCAATATGGAAATGTATAATACTACTTCGGAAAGAATAAAGGTCTCTCAGACTTCAATACGTGGTATTGTGAAAAAATACTCCGAAACTAATGAAATGTCACCACCCAAAAAGGCCTCGTAATAGAGTAATAATTGATGACTTGAATGAATTTGTTCTATCAGAAATACGCAGAAAAGTACATAAATTTTACTTTGATGGGGAATTACCACCAGTTGGAAAAATTCTGAAAGCGGTTGATAATGACGATAGTCTGCCTACATTCTGTTGTTGAAAATTGTGTAGTGAACAAATGTAAAATACACTGAAAATAAACATGGACCGTTTTACTCCCCAAGAACGTGGAATAATTGTGTCAATGTTCTTACGGAATAATTCATCAGTGATAAGAACACAACGTGAATTTCGTCGACGATTTCCCCACCGTCCAGCACCGATTGGTTGCACAATTCGACGCTTTGCCACACGCCTTGAAGCAACTTGCTCAACATTGGATAGACCTAAGTCTGGGAGACCAAGAACAGGCCGTTCAGCTGAAAATATCGATGCTGTGCGCGAAGATGTGGAAGAGTGTCCAGAAACATCAACGAGGCGACGTGCTACGCAATTGGGCATTTCCAGACGGACCCTGCAGCGTATTTTGGTGAAAGACTTGAAGATGTTCCCGTATAAAACTCAAATGACTCATCAGCTGCTGCCAGCTGACCACCGAGCTCGTCTAGATTACTGCCAGCGCGTCATAAACCTCAACCTTGAAGAGGATGATTTTCCTTCAAAATTGGTTATGAGTGACGAAGCGCATTTCCATCTCTCAGGGCATGTCAATAAGCAGAATACTCGGTTCTGGGGCACTGATAATCCGCGCATTATTCAAGAAACACCTCTACACCCACTAAAAGTTACTGTATGGTGTGGCATCTGTGTTGACAGAGTGATCGGACCCTATTTTTTCGAAGACGCTGGAGGCAATGCGATAACTGTCACTGGAGAACGCTACAGAACCATGTTACGTGAGTTTTTGATACCCAGTTTGGACGAATTGGGGCTGGAGCACATCTGGTTTCAACAAGACGGCGCTACGGTACACACAGCGCGCGACACTATGGACTTAGTGAGGGACGCTTTTCCAGGCCGAGTTATCTCTCGTTTTGGCGATTTGCCTTGGCCTGCAAGATCACCCGATTTGACCAGTCCAGACTTCTTTCTTTGGGGTTTTTTGAAATCTCGGGTGTATGTGAACAAGCCACAGACTCTCGCAGCTCTAAAACATTCGTCAAGAAATAACGAACATATCGCAGGAAGTGTTACGACAAGTTATGCAAAATGTCATAAATAGGGCTCAAATGTGTATCAACTCTGGAGGTCACCATTTAAAAGACATCATCTTTAAATCCTAATGGTACGAAATTTAATGGCACAAATATACATTTAAAAAAACGTAAATCTAGTTTTCTCATTTAGAAAAAATGTTATAGCTGAACCAAATAGGGTCTTTACTTTTGCGCCACTCAGTAGAATACTGAATAAATTGAATATCCGAATATACACGACAAAATAAAAAATCTATTATCTAGATAAAATGCAGGATATATTTAGTTACAATGACGTCTGGATAGACTATAGAAAAGCATTTTTACGCGGTCTCTCAACTGTGTTAATAAATCCTGAGTGAGGAAAAAGGTTGATTATTATCCATATTGGTTTATCGAAGGTGGAGTGGTTTGAACGGATATTGATTAAAATTCAACCAGGCTCTGTAATAGTAATGGATAAGGCCCCAAAACATTCTCGCCAACTCAAAATTGTTCCCAACATTAGCTAGAAAAAAGACGCTATTCAAGTTTAGTTACGAAGTAAATATTAATTTTCAATGCGATTTACGAAATAAATATTAACTTTAAATGCTAAAGAAATAAAGGCTCAGCAACTCTTAAAATTCGACAAACAAATATAAGACTAAATATGTGGACGATAACGCCAAATCCAAAGGAGTGACTGTGCTTCGTCTTCCACCTTATCACTGTGAACTTAATCTTATTGAACTTATTTGGACATAAGTAAAATCAGTAAGAAAAAACAAAACATTAAAACTGCTAGAAAATAAAAATTCGCTTAAAGAAGTCTTGACAAGGATTGCAGTAGCACAATGGAAGAAATGCGTTAGCCACGTTCTAAAGGAAGACGAGGGTATGAAAAAGTTGGATAGCATCATAGATGTAGCAACTGATGGTGGAATAGAGTCCTTTGTAATAGCTGACCAAGGCGACACTTCAGAAAGCGATAATTCTGAATACAACCATTTATATAGATAAGTAAATTTGTCTTCTCTTTTCACTAATGTCCTATAATAAGTATGAACATATAAATAACAATTAATAATTACTTAAAAACTATGAATAAATTCAAATAATTTTTATATAAATAAAATAATTAAGATTGAAGTATCTTAAAGAGTGCTCACATCACTAGAATAGATAAGGCTATGTTAATATCAGCCGATCGTTTACAAGATTGCTTTGCTAAATTATATTGAAATGAACTATGTAGATACAAAGTATTCTATCCTACATCAGTAATAATAATTTTAATATTGTACTAATAAAAATATTAATATTAAAACTATTTGCAAAAGGTATCTACTCCAGTTCGATAAATACCCTTATTTACCCTTATATTTAATTTACATTTTTGTCGTACAAAAACTTAAATTTTTTCATTAGCAAATTTTTGTGTGTGTTTATTTTAGTATGATTACATTTGTAACCAAAATCAAAATCAATATAATTTCTTTGTTATTAGTTAAAAAATATGATAAGCTCCCAATGCTATCTATTATTTATTTATATCGAAAATATATACTTTTTAATTATAACATTAAATCAG